GGGGGGGTGAAGAAACAAAGTAACATTTATCATTTCCTATTGAAAAATGCACTCCGCTTAAGGGCCTTGCAAGCACCTCTTGCTATTTCAAGCAGTTGTATTCCGACTAGAAGGGAAGGTAGAGAAAGCCTGCTTCTGTAAATCTAGACACAATTTTCAGTACTTACACATTAGTGTGCAGTTGGAAGTCTCCAGTCTTGTAACCCACAGAGAAGTTATTTCTGGTCAATTTTGATTTGGCACTATCAAAAGTCATCTGATAACCAGCAAGCCAACCTTCATAACCGAAGACAGCTGAACCATGGATTGCAGGTCCAGCAAAATCAAAGTCAACATCACAACCTAGGTTTAGGCATTCACGTTTATACGCCGACTTAATTTTACCACTTTTCTTTCTGAAATAGAGAAACAGTTATCTTAAGACAAGGCTTGATCTTCCTCAATGAACTGACAAATTCGAGCCATATGACTCCACACAATGCATCTAAATGCCATGCACATGCATCCTCTAGACTGGGCCAAAGCACAGAGCTACCACGAAGAGGCATTTTGTGACGAACGTAGAGGCGTTTTCATGCCTCCTGCAATCTTCCAAGTATTTCTATCCCAGAAAATAAGCAAAGTGAGCTGTTGTGAAGTTTCCAATACTAACCCCACGGTGTAAGATGTGATGCTAAAAAGCGGAAGCCTTTAGCATTGGGATTTGCTAACGTGGATCAATAGCAAACCATACATATCTCCGTCACTACAACAGACCAGATGAACATTTACTGACCATGGGTGTTGTTACTGCCCTAAATAAGGTAAAAAGGTGAACAATTCTTACCCTGTATTTGGTGAGAAAGTTGTATCAAATGTCAACTTCAAGCCTTTGGCAATCTAATTGAAGGGGGAGAAGGTAAGGTAAAGCTATAAATTCAGCTCTGCTAGGTAGGTAAAACAAACAAATACTCTCCTAATCTATTACCTGATCTTCAATTGCAATTTCTGTTCCCAGAGTGTTATCTGTGTTCCATTTTTCTGTGAAAGTCAGCCCATACTCAGCCCACTTGTATTTGGTCTCCAAGCTCCCATTCACTTTTCCAGTGTCTGTGTTCGATGAACCCGATGTTGTGAATTCCTAAAAAGGATAGCGTCCACGTTATACAGAAGATGCATGTGATCCCGAAAGCATTACACAGTGCCAAAAGAGAAAAGACTTTTCTTCAGCAAACACTAAGATCTTGTTATTCTATGCAACAAGTTCAACAACATTAGACAACTTGCAGGGGGAGAAGGGGGAATGACATGGACAAGAAGAACTAGACAATTTATACCCACATGGAGGCCTCCCCCGCCTCCCCATCTCAACTGCAAAGTTTCTGCCACTGTTACAAAATGGACAGGTTTGCAACATAACTCAGAAGCAAGACAGTAGTTACCGTAAGTATTCTCCTTAAAAGCAGAAACAAGTTCTTGAAATATAAGATTAAGTCTGATACTTGTAATGAGCAAATTAAAAATCAAACCAAAAGCCTAGAACACTATAAGGCACATAATGCAACTCCAGTAAAATTATTTAAGGATCACATATGTATTTTCATTATTCCAGTCAACCACCTCCAAAGATAAATTATGTACAACTGTAAAATGTCATAGAATGCCATCATTTTTCAAATTGGGGGTGGGATTGGTGGTGGTTTGTTTTTTTGTTTGGTTTGGGCTTTTTTGCTGCTTTTTAAGAGAGTTCAGTCTAACCAATGCAACCAGCCTTTCACACAAGCCATAGGCACACGTGTTTCTACTGACATCTGTAAAATTCCTATTCCCCTGACACTTCGGTTTAATGACACACAGGAAGAACATTCACATTTGAATTGTGAGCTGAGGCAACAGTCTGATTTTATGCTTCTGGCAGTTTTACTTGGAATTCTTGAAAGTATTTAAAAGTTAGCAATATCACTCAAATCTCCTTATTAAACTAAGTAGTCCCTGATGTCTCTCACTGTTTGGATCCTCACAAAGAACAGAATGAGTAATTTCTGTGTACCACTATTCAGAAACTAAAGGCAATACCTAGTAGAACTGGAAGTCTGGTTTGCAAATATATGTTAAGGAGCCCTTCCCACTGAAACATTATTGCCCTTATGGTTTAAAAAGTTTATTATTTCAACTTTTTTTAAACGTATAAATCAAGATTTTGATCTCTGACTTCCTCCATGCACAGTACTATTTTCAAATCGACTCCTCACTCACCTCTCCCAGAAGAAAACATGGATTTGAAATCACAAGTCCTTAAGCAGTCATATTCTCATAGCCCAAGACCTAGTGCACATCGCAAGCATACATGAGACCGTTCTTTAACGGTGGATGATCAAATTTAACCATGGCCAAGACATTTACTTGTCTTATGTTAGTGAACCACTAAACCATCCACACAGTTGCGTAATTCTAGTAAGGTCTATTTCTTGGCAAGTGACAGGAACTAAACAACTTCAAGTCCAAATACCTTCAGCTTTAACTTCTAGCTTTGTGCTATTCCTACTGCACAGGGTATATGTGACTGCAACCATTGTGGTAATACCTTCAGGAGCGGCAAATTATTACATTATCTCTTATCTCTGCTTTAAAACATCTGCAGTACATACATGCCAGCGCCTTCTCCTGGGAAAGATTGCTTGTAACTGGCATGGGATTCACATGAAGGCTTGGATTTTTCAGAGAGTTTTACCAGTATTACTGGTAGTCCTCAAAAGAAACAAGCTAAAATAAGAACAACTACATCTATAATAGGGCTCTTGCAAACCGCACTTCAGTGCTTCAATTGCGATACAGACTTCTAGAAAAAACACAGCATATATCCCACACATCTTGTTTGTAACAGCCAGTTACACTGTTAAAGCTTCCAGTTATGGGGGAAGCAGGGGGGGTGTGTGTGTGTGTGAAAATCTACCTTTATCTTGCAAAGTCTGCTCTAGAAATAGATAAAAGTTACAGAAGGCACTGCTTGCATGACCAAGACATCTTGCATGGAACATTACTGCAACACTTTAATACCTTTAGAGAGGAACCAAAGATTCAACATACTAATTCACTGCCAACTACTTCACAAAAGCATCAAGATGCCAGAAACTTCCACCAAATACAAATAGTATCACAAGGTACTTTAGAAATAAATTCTGTGTGCTATGATTGATACATTAAAATACTTCAAAAAACATGTCAGCTCTTTGTTCACCTTCAGGCATAAGACGAGGGACAACTAATTTTATTATTATTTATTTATTATTACGTTAACTTTTTACTTTACTAAACAGTGTGATACCCCAGTTAGGTTCAGAATAAAAAGTCAGATCTTCAGGGACTTCTGAAATTATTTTACACTAAAAGTTTATCATTCTTATAACCTATAAACTACTTAACAGCATCTGGAAAGTGCCCTTTCTAATTAAATATCAGAACATACCCAGGAAACTATAATGAGTAAAAGGTATTTAAACTCACCACTCCGCTTGCAGATTTTGTTTTCACATCCAGTTTCACCAAGCCAAAACCTTAACAAACAGAAGTCAGAGTTACACCAGTAGGCTTTAACAAAGCCCACGCACATTTTCCAAGTAGCTGGTTTTCCAGACAGTCTCAGCAGTGTGCCATGTATAAACATATATAAAAACAACTATAGACTGACTTCTGTAACACTCAGATTTTAGATGCCACAGTGAGTAGAGGAGGCCACTCTAGAACAAGCCGGGAGTTCTGTTCTATCATCATCACACAGAAAGTGGGGAGTAGCCTCTCAGTTGTACACTGTACATTCAACTACCAAACGATGTCTTCCAAGAGTAAATTTAGTTACAGAAAAAATGCATTCTTTTCTGTTCCTGGAATAACATCAGCTTTGTAGTCAATGCCATTTGAAGAGCTATCCTAATGCCTAGAATTTGTCTCTCAGCACCAAGAAGAAATATGTCAAAGTAAAAAAATGTAAAAGTGAAGTCACTGGGAAATACACAGCCACTGGAACTGTAATATAAGTAGGTTTTATGGGATTGTCAATTTACATTGTGACCCTTACAGCTGAGCGACAGTGTTGGTGAAAAAGCCCCCACATGCATTCCCAAAGACCAGAAAGAAACAGCACTGTAATGAAGCAGAATTCAACTATGCAACTGCCTGGTGTTAGAGCATTTTAAAATGCTGAAGAACTCTTTATCCCAATAGCTATTCCTCTCTCTACTCCAAAAAAGGCTATAATGCTACAGTGGTATATATCCCTTTCTATATCAACAAATGTTGTGGCACAGAGCAGTAAACAAAGTGTATTCCTAAGTCAAATGACACCCGATGCTTACATTCTTGCATACTTGTATACCTCTGACATTTATGTGGCTAAAGCAGTAAGTTTTAACAGACTTCAGAACAAAACAGCCCACGAAAAGCCTCCAATGATCTGTTAGTTGACGGTAATGACATAAAAACAACACACCTTCCCCCTCCCCAGAAACACAGGCATTTGAGCATTCAGTTTTACATATAGGCTTAAAAAGGTAATTCATTGCAGCACCACAAACACCATGTTTTGTAACAGGTACTATTCTTACCATATCCTTTATTGAAGATATCTCTGGCAGATTTGCCAAGGTCTACGTATGATGGAGGAATCGCCATTGGAGCTGAAAGGTAAGGGGCTAATTAATAGTGAACCTCTTACCATTGCGCGCGCACAAAAAATGCTACCACAACTCTTTAAAGATACTCTTTAAGGCAGATCCATATATAAAGGCAGTTAATAGATGGTTCAATTACAGTATTCTGTAAAACACCTACAGATTTTCAGTGATGGCCACTATGAACACTGAATGTTTTCTTGGCTTAGGTAATCCGCCTAGCATAGAGAAGAGGCATTACAAGATCACCCAGTTCTTTTAAATTTAATTACCAAAAATCAACTAATAGCTCACATTTCCAGAGTTGGCAGCTGCCACCAAAACCCAGGAAACTAGAAATTTGAAAAACTATAATGCAGACAGTTCTTTCCTGAAGTTCCACAAAGTCAAATTTGACAGATGCTTACGAAAATTACCTGAGAGGACCTACATGGTTTTATTTTCAAAATGTAAAAAGAGTGCATATCTGTTCTGCAACATCATTTGCCCCATATTGTAAATGGTAGACATACAGTTTAAAAAAGAGAGTCTAATGCCATTAACTAGCAATCAATCTGATAAAGTTTTTTCTCCCCTATATCGTACAAGAGTTTAAGTTTGGGAGGTTGTCTTGTTAGTTTAAAACAAGTAGTAGGAGTGCTGGGGCAGTGAGAAAAGCTCTCTTTAGAAGTCCCTTTCTCAGATGGGGAGCCTTTGGCAATCTCACTGTCAAAGAACCTGTTATTCAAGACTAGCTACGACCCAGCCTCCCTGGCCCAATGGACAGATACCAGACTAAGGTCTCTCACAGGCCTGTATGGCTCTCCACCCTGTGAAGATACACTCTATCTGTACCTTCCTTCGATGACTGTTTTCGCATTATTTCAATAGCAAAAGGCCACTGTTACAGAGGCGCTGCATTTTCAAGTTTTAAAATACAGAAAACAGAGCAGATTTCAAAGAATTAATAACTCCCCCCGTGCTGTGAAAGAGGGGAAAAAAAAAAACCACCCAATGAAACTAACTAGATAAGCACCATAAAAAGGCTAAACACAAGCAAACAAAAATCTTCTCTTATCTTTTCAAACTGGTCACATTTGTTTTGTGGAGAAAGTCAGATTAACATAATTGACTGTTGATCTTGCTCTTGTGTGGTGTTTTTTTTTTTAGTAAATAAAAAATATCTTCAGAACCTCAAAAATAAAAAGGGCAATACTCTCATATGTCAACTTTCAACTGCAAGCAGAAAATATTACTTTCATTTTTATATAGTACTTTTAACCAATATTTGAATTTTCAACACCTGGCTATAGAATTGCTTATCTTCTGCAGATCTCCACAAGATCAGAAGCGTATTCAGTAATACAGCACCAAGGCAAGCTTTCTTTTTTCCTCCCTCTCAAAAAAGTTTCTTTCCATCTTTTCATGGCCTTATCTACACAAAGGGAAAACTTTCCTGGAACACCCAATTCAGAAAAATTTCCTTTAGGGCACCATTCCACTAAACAGAGTGTTGTTTCAGAATAGCAGCCGCACAAAAAACCCAAAACCAGAAACTAATTACATCTGCCATATACAGCCTAGTTGTATGAACTGCTACTATTTAAAAAAAAAAAAAAAACCCAAACAAACAATTTTAGCAAGCAATAGTAAGGCACAAGACTTTCTTATCTTTCTACAATTTCTAATGCAGTTTTCCAGAGTACCTTACTCCACCTTCCTAAGCCATAAGGAGGTCACTTCAACCTCCTCTGAGGAAAAACATTTACATTCACATTTAAACAAAATTTTAAAAAAACCTTCTTTAGTAAGGAGTTCTAAACTCTACAGCCAGGTCACTATAGCAAGACATCCATTACTTGCTCAAGAGCACGAAACAATTCTGTTTTACCATAGAGTAAACTGTCTCTTAATAAAACAACAACAAAAAAAAACCCCACACATGAAAATTACTTGGAGCATTTGAAGCTTGAAAAGGCTTTGCCCAAGTTCAAGTCCATAATAAACGGCATAAGTCTTGAGCAAAAAAAGATTCTATAGCAGAACAGATACTAGTCCCGGTGACAAGACATTAAATGGTTCCTATTATTTATTCAATAAGAAGCAAGCGGTAGCCCAAATTACAAGAAAGTGTGGAAACACTGCTCTTCTCCCTCTAAATTTCTGCTGTACAGCAACTATACAATTCATTAGCAGTTTAAAATAATTTAGAGAAGGTTTAGCTATGTGTTTTTCCTTTAATGAATAGGTCTCACTTCTAACTAGCATCTTCAGAAGAATAATTATTTCTAGTTTTAAAGTCTTATACTAGCCTTTAGCACAGACATGCTTTTACAGTACAAATAAACGAGCTTTTTGCTTTTGTTTTCAGTGTTTCCAATCTAACTAGACAATCATTACAGACAAGCAATTTATGCTAAGCAGTAATGTCCTGAGAAGTCAACAAACCGGTATCTGTGTCTCAGTTCAAAGGATTACTACAGTAAAAAGGATGGTGCCTTTTTATCTGGCCTAGTCAAGCATCCTTCCCACTGCAAGGAAACCAACCAGTATTTGTCAGACATTCCAGCCTACAGATGCAAGTTTTGTGATAAAAAGTTAAAACACAGTACACTGTCACACTGCTGTTCTAACAGGGATGGACAAGGATAAAAGGGGAAACCAAGAGTTAATTTCAGGTATACTAAATACCTGATAAGCCAGTGCCATCATCAGAATGCTCATTAAATGAAAATCTGGCCAAAAAAAAAAAAAAAATCATTCCTGTGTCCTCCAACATTGGCAAGTTAGCTAGGTTTGCAAATTCTTACAATCAGAAGTAATTTTCTGCAACCCTGGTTTTTTTCACTTAAAAGCTACTAATTAGAAATGACTACAATATAAGTAACATTTAACAAGAGGTTTGTTGTGAAAGCAACTATCAGATAATCTTATTCCTAATTTCAGAAACACAAATCTACTTGAATCAAGTGGGAGCTCCTGATCTTTGTTTCATGCCACCCTAAAAAAAAAAAGTTTAATTAATCTATTACTCAAGAGCCACACACATCCTTCCTTCTTCTGTAAAAAGAAAAAAAAATACAATCCCAAACCAAAAAAATGTATTAATGTTATCAGAATTATTACATCACAGCTTTCCTTCGAGGTAATATTACAAAACTCTCTCACACCCTACAATTAAAGGAATGCCAAGGACTTCTATAAAGACTTCTAACAATTTTAAGATCTCAGGATACTGAAGATGAGGCTAGATCAGGCTATAATAAAAAAAGCTAAATATTCATGCAATTGAAAAAAAATGGCAATAACTACACTGAAATTGTATTCCGGTAATGTAAAGAGCAACAGAGAAATTGACACTATTCAAAAACCACTTTGCTAAAATATATTGGACATACCACCGACCTTTAGACTTACACTGCTACTAAAGCTTAAAAAAAAAAAAAAACCCGAAAAAAAACCTCATTACCCTTGCTTCAACTCCCTACTTACATCTCAGAGGACACGCTAGTCTAGGCGCCATAGCTAGGCCAATTTAGAGACTCTACGGAGAACGGAAAGAAAATGAAACATCTGAGAACGAGCTACGTGTTCAGAAACAGAAAGCAGGAGCGAGG